ACAGCAAAATTTTTTAATTTTATCAGTATTTACAGTACAAAATACAGTAAATATTTTCGTTTCAGTAAATGACAAAATTGTCGGTTATAAATTCAATAATTCTTTGCACTTTGTGTTGCAAAAAGCAAAGGGCAAAAGTTTATTAAAACACAGATAGCTAATTGGTAGCTCGCGCAAGGTAGATATGAAACGAAAGGTTAGCGCAGGTCGGAGTTCAAGTATTTGCTCAATTTTTCATAGATACGCTCCACTATCAAATAGGTCAAAGCAACAATTCGTTTCTTTAGAGAAAAATAATGAATAGTAACCTAAGATATTAAATAAATGGCAGAAACAGTGACAATCGTAGTTGTCTACATCTTAAGAATGGAATAAAAGATCAAAAAAAAGTTTGACACAAACTAAAAATAGTAAGTAACTTGTAGAGTGATTATGCAAATTGTATGAGACGTATAGGAGTCAATAAGAAGTAGGCGCGATAGGTTGGTAGGACGCCTTCTCAGGCACGGAGGGCTATATAGAGACCTATTAGAAGCAGAAGCAGGAGTTTAGATAGACCTAGGTTAGACTACTCATTATAAATAGTTAAGGATGTGTGGGATGTTCTAGTTTTAGGGAAATACGAATTAGCTACTCAGGATAGGAAAGAGTGGAGGTGCGTGTTCAGCCAGTCTTAGGACTAACGATCTTCGGGGAGTTTTAGAAAGGCATATTTCGATTTGTGTGTTTAATTGATCATTTGATTTAGTTGCAACTAAATCAGTATGCAATGAATACGTAATATTTTATTGGTTTACGAATTACAACTGTATCTATAATTATTATTATTCGTAAAATATGTAAATACTAATGAAAATCTATAGTTGTTAATATTCCGTTTGCGAAATGAATACAAAAGTGACAATATTGTTGATGAGAAACTGACATTAATTGATAATGGCGAGCGCACCGTTCAACAACAGAACAACGATGTGCAGGCGGATGCAATAATTGAAGACCAGTTATTGAAATATTTAATTTGAACAAATTGTCAGCAAATTTTACGGCTGTTGTACCTGATGGGTATCGACGAGAATATGGGCCCGGAGAATCTGGTAACCACCCAATAGATGTTCATTCGTTTGAAATTAACAATTGAATTGACATAATCATTAAATGTTTCCACCTGTGCTTGCATGTATTGTTAATTAATTAGCCTTTGGCAACGTTATACAGACGTACAGATGTATGCACTTTACACCACCGTTTCAGATACCTGAACGCTAATGTAGTGGATGCCTCTGCCTCTGCAGCCGCCTTTGAAGTTTTATAAAATTTGGCTGACTGTCCAACGCGGTTCAGTTACAAATTTAATAACAAACAATATGTAATCCTTTGTAATTATCCTGATTCATTTTGTATTATTCAACAAACGATTCAACTCATGTAATTGTGTAACGAAATTATAATCAATCATCCTTAATTATAATTAATGTATTAGTTTTCGTAAACAAAGATAAAAGTATTTATGTATTGGATTGAATATGGTATGAAAGGGAAGAAAAAGTAAAGAAAGAGCGAATATAAAGACAGGAGACGATAAATTAGAAGAAGTGACTGATTTATTTCGGTATCTAGGAAGTCAGATAATTCAGGCTGAAAGAAGAAGTAGATACAAAACAAAGGATAGCGCAACGGTTTAGAAATTCGAAAAAGATTGCTAAGCGTTCAAAATATGTGGTGTTCCAGTCGAATGATGAAGATACCGTGGATAGAAAAGGTATTCGAAGTAATAGGAGAACAGAGGACTCTACGGAAGTCAATAAGAAATAGGCGAGATATGTCGGTAAGACACCTTCTCAAGCATGAAGGGTTAGTCAAGAGACAGAAACAGGAATTAATAGAAAGAATAGAGGTAGACTTACATTAGATTACTGTTCACAAATAGTTAAGGATTCGGGATGCTCTATCTTTAAGGAAGATTACCTCAGGATAGGAAACAGTGGAGATGCGTGTCCAACCAGTCTTAGGACTGACGATTTTATGATGATGATGATGATAATAATTGGACTGAATATGCTACAATAGACATTTCGTAATCGGATGAAAGCTAGAAGTGGTGGCAGAAGGGAAAACGAAGTCGGCACCTACATCTTCTGTTTTCTTGCAATGCCTCCTCGTCATCGCATTCACACCGAGTCGATTTGTTGTTTAGAATTTCGAGTTTCCTGTGTATACCTATTATATTTTTGTATCTTCGGGCAATAATAATTGCTGTTCGACTTCATCGGGAAATTAACGAAGAGGTACACGAGGTGGAAGTACGAGAGAGATCAAAGATCGCCGTTTAAGTGGCTAATGGAGATAGTCGAACGTTGGAGTGTTAACTCGTCGAATAGGTAATAACTAATTAACGAAGGAACGTGAAGTGATTAATACGGTGTGTAGCGGCACATCGGGGTCCGTTGACCTCGACGCCACCACCGATCGACGACGACGACGAAGGCGTCTCCAGCGTCGTCGGCGGTAAAACGCGCGCGGTTAACGCGTCACAACCGTTCGTTCTCTTCTCTAATAATACGCCACACTGATGGATATCTGTGTATGTCTAGCGTGTACATTTATTTGTGCGTACGTGTGTACTATAATAAGACACTAAAATTGTTAAACGGCAACTTTCGGATGGAGAATAAATTTGTCGGAAACATGACGCGACTGTGTAAGTAAGCCCGGGGACGACGCGATATGCATATTGTTAATTACACATGTCCAAAGACGTGAACCGTTTTTATAATCGGCTCTAACAGAATACAGGGTGGCAAAAATACATTCACCTGGCACAATGTACCTATAATCTTTAATAAACAAACTATTGACTGTCTCAAACGCAACATATGAAATTAGACAAGCAAAATGTTACCCCTCCTGTTGGGTAAATTACTTATTTGAAACTGAAACACACAAATTGGACATGTGTCGTCTAAATTAAAATGGTATACGAGATAAAATAGGATTTTATTTGTGACGCCCTGTAACTATGTAGGCATATATAATATTAAGTACCTGTACGAACATGTAGGTATGCAGCCTGGTGGCTATTGTACATACAATACACTACACACATATGCATATATACACAAGTATTTGTGCAACATGTTAATGAGCAACAAGTGTTATGAGCGTCCTGGTTCTGCTAAGTTAATTTACTATTATAGTAAAATGTAAATTCGACAGGAAAAACTCGAATTCCTTAAACGAAAACTCGACTTATAGACAGGCACTCGACGACACGTTTTCGCAGGGCTACCTGTGCTAGGTTTTGTCGATCCTCGACGCAAGCCCACATCCGGTTACCGACATAATTTATGTATTTGTAGAAATGCCTTCTTCACGGCGTAGCAGGTATAAAGGAATATGTTCCGGAAACCTATCGTCTATTCATGTGTCATCGTTTTTGTGTTATCAATAGGCCGTAAATCTTCACGAATAATTGTGTTTCGTTAAGGAAACCGATAGCAAGGTACCCAAAAAGGTTTAATCGACTACAACGGCTGTAGTTTGTGTTTTCCTTTTCGTTGAAAAGGGAAAATCTTCATACGACACCTTGACGCTTGTGCGATCGGGTAATTCCCGAGGAAGTGACAATACTTATTGCAGCTAAACATGCCCAAGAAAAGGACAATAACGGAGGAATGGGAAGCAACAGGGAACAGGGATTAGCTCTAAATGATCAGTTGATGAGAAAATAATTAGTGTTAATTAAATTAACGTTATAAGTATTAATAAAACAATTAAGTTTTAGTTGAAGTAAATCGTAATGAATGTTTGTTCAGTCGTTTGAGTAGTTTAGATACGTAGATGGTGTTGTGAAAGTTACCTTTATGTTGGTACATAACAAAAATTCGCCATATGGTGCGAAACTTTTGTTATAGGGTATAAGAGGTAAATAGGGGGTCCTCTTAATTGCGTGACTAAACAATTTCGGGCGGTACATATATATAAGGGTGAATCGAGTATACACTTTGTATAGTCGGAAAACGGAGGGTTGTGGTCGAAGAGAAGAAGAGGGTGAAAGCGGCTATCTAGTCCCTTCATTTCACCCTTCAATTAGTTACACCAAAATACATCCAAAACCGTTGTATAATTTTAGGGTAACTTTACACCGTCTATTACGTGTTGTTTCTCAGATGTTGGAAGTTATTATTGTAATTTTCTCCCAAACTACACGCCCACCTATAGCAATTCAACAAAACAAGAAAAGCTTAGCTATTTTTCCAAATTGAAACTTAATGTTCGTGGCGTAAAATAAACTCGAAAGTCTTTATAATGTGCGATTAACATTTAACAAAAATATTTAATATTTCTCTTCAAAGGTGGGCGCTATTGGTAGTAGTTGTTGTAGGTCTGTAGCAATTAAATTAACGTTCTCCGCGCTTTTATGTCATCATAAAACCAACATTAATAAAGATCCATTAAAACGCGAAAAAAGCAACTGGCTGTAAGCAATTAAGAGGCGAGTTAATTTCGGCCAATTAACAGTATATTGCAGCAATCGTATTGATTACGTATATGTGCGTCGCAAAATTAAACCACGCAATAATTTCTTCTGTAATAGCCAAACTTTAATCACACTCTTCTCGTTATAAAAAAATCAATCGGCAATCAATTGCACCCGCGCCTCAAACCGAGCTCCGAGAGTTAATAAAATCAAACGATTTTGACTTCAAAATCGAACGCAATCTTGAAGACGTAGGCAGATGTATCCGACGGCAAATGTTCCATAAGTATAAAAAAATCGTTATGGCTACATTTTCAGTTTAGGCATGACACATATGAGGCCATTTGATGTAGGAAAATGTTAAAAGTGGGACTAAGAAAAGGCTAGGATGTGAGGCGAAAGCATTTGTAATTGAAGTAGCCCGACGTGTAAGGGCACTAATCTAGACAAATCGTTAAAATCCATTTTATTATATCGCCAGGTCGTATATCATGTCGTTCTTTAACGTCCCGTAATAACTTACAGGATGTCTTGCGGCCACTACGGCCGCCGCTGCTGCTGCTGCATTCATTTGTGCACTGCTGGGGTACATCTTACGCCCGAACTACGACAATAATAAATCCCATTTTTTATACAAAGTACGTCTCTATACTCCTTTCCACTACAACAAAATGTTTCACCCTATCATTCCACCACACCACAAAATATAAGACACTCTCGAACAGCAACCGACGATGAGAGAACGATAGGACGAAAGAAAACCGGAAATTTCCTATTAAGAACACCAGCTGCACTCAAAGCGAAGCACTGAAATCCAAACACTGAACATAAAAGCCTAGTTACGAGTTTTTTTTTTGTTGTCGCGAAATCGAGTACAAGTTTAGCTCAAGTTCTCCGGCTATAGAGGCGCTGCTTCAACAACTCGACGAACAGCTCGAATACACGGTTTCCGTACAACTGCCAGCCCAGCGTTTTCGTTATATTACCCAGAGTAACAGACTCGCCTCGTCAGCCAGGCGCAAACGAACTCACCGCCACAATAAACCTAGCCGATAATTTTACATACCCATATTTTCACATTACCGACGCAACTGAACACGAAACAAATCTTCAGTCGTCGATAAAAGAATACATTTCGATTTGGTGTTGCCTTTTTCTACCGAAACCCTATGAGCTACCCAGAATTTTAGTTAAGGACCGTTTAGAAAGCGGTGTGGCATGATAGTCGAGTAGATAGCGGAGGAAGTTTGAGTATAGGCGTAGTGTGGATCGGGGAGTTCGAGCAGTTCCCCATCGGCAGTGTCTGTGTAATTCCCCCGTTCCCGTTCCGCGGCGCCGATCGTCACCCGGCCGATTTTCTCAGTTGCAAGGCTCTCTTTCGGCCCCACTCGGCTTTGCTCTCTGTGTTCCCTCTTCCTACAAAAAAGTTACAACTGTGTAAATATCAGCAGCTACACGATCAATTAAAGTGTCTGGACGACTGCCGATACGCCACCGCCACCTCAAAGAGTCTTTACGTATATATATATATTTATTTATATGTATATGTTTATAAAACTATTACACATGTGGCAGCAATCTCTTTCTCTCTTCAATAAAACAACTATTCCCCGAGTCATATGTCACACACCATTATATCTGCATCGCTTTGGCTTTAATACAAAAATACATCGGTCTGATTTACGAGTTAGAAGCGTTATTATAAAAGCGATTCTGTTTTCATGATTCGTCTCTCAACATTAACGATAATGATAATGACGAAATGATGCAGCACGTCAAATAAAAATATCATCCAGTTATATTATTTATGCGTCTAACGACTTACACCAATCAGTACCTTCGGATCGATAAGTGCTTCCAATATAATAAACCTGAGAGCGTGTTATTACGTATGAACACACATCTTCACTCTCATGTTTTTTTACTTTCTCGATAAACGCTGGTATCTTAAATAAGTAAACACGTTTTTGCTCTACAACAGCCCAATTGCATTTAAAGTACCTTCTTGCGGTTCTTTCGGCCGATACCGCTTTGGGCTTGCACCTGCGTCCACAATATTCTGTCCGAGACTTCACTCAATGCATCTCTAAAACGATGTCTCTACACTCCCGGCCCATTTACTCACAACCGGTTTTTTGTGCCCAAGCGTTATTACCCTCGCCGGTTGAGGGATTGGCCTACTTATTCCTAATTTACCAGTCGAATGTTGGGAATATCATGTATGCGCACGTGAATCGAGTTGAGTTTTTATTTGCGAAATTTGGATGCGCAAATGGAACAATTTAAAATGATCGAACGGTGCGAGGGTCGAGTGGAACAAAACTGGAATTGTTTGCTTTTCATTTTTGAAGCACGCTGTTCAGTTGGTCGTGTTGGGTATAAAATATGCGTGCTTTCTAACCCAGTTGCAATTGCAAATACCTACTAATGGTTTCCGAATTTTAACGGTTGAATTGTCCCAGATTTGCAGTTGAAATTGCATAAACAACACGACAACGAAACTCGCAATTCTTCTTTCTTCTCTTTATTATTTTTAATATTTAATGTTATTTTCAGAAGGTTAATAACTTTAATAAGTACGTACAAAGAATGGAAAATTGCAGTGCGTACTTGAATATAAAATACCTAAATTGAAGGGTATGGGCTGATTTTCTTTATAATTTACCTGTTTACTCTTTGTAGAAATCTGAACCTACAATCAATAGGTACATCAATACTGAAGGTAGTATAGGTAAGGTAGTTAATCCTACATGCATACGTAAACATGTACTACATATGTACCTAGAAGCTTCTGCTGTCTGAAGCACAGCAAGCAACCTCGCCTATAATCAATCTGTTGTATCACTGGAGACAATTTTGACCCAATACAATAATGGAGTTTGGTCGAAGTTACTGGGAATGTGTGAATGAAACTACCTAAGCAAAAATTTGCAGTGTAATGTATTCATGCATTAGGGAAATAATATTGCGGGTATGTTTCTTTAGTTCGACTGACAGTGCAAGTTGTTTCTTCGAAAATTGCAAAGCCGATTGCTGAATAAACACAGTTTTTAGTTGCCTGACGTGATAGGTACTATAAAAAAACATTCCAATATGTATTTTATTAACGATTATCCTCGAGATGTTTGAATAATTCTACTCATCATAATATCTAATTATTTTTTATGAAGATATATCTTTTTGGCATCTTTTCTGTTTGTGCAAGCAAGTTTTCCAAAACTGAAACCGAAGCCACCTGCAGAGGTTATTTGAGAATTTTCTGTATTTTATTAAGGTCATTTTTGCTTATTTGCTTGTGATAATAAAGTTTATAAAGTAACTCGGGGCAATCTTCGTACAATTAGTAGGTATTATTGGAAATACCATTAGTCTACCAAAATTTGAGACTCTACTTAGGCGTATAATGGTATAAGCTGTGATTCCTGGAAGCAGGGTTACATGCTGACCGTCCTGCTGTTGGCGGTTAAAATACCTATACAGATTTTAAATAAAAATGGCTGCTTGCTAGGAGCATCTCATTTTAGGTAAAACGGAGGTCGTATCTGTCTTTGTTTCCCTTGCATGATTTTATCGGTTTCTACCCTTATAAATATGACACTTTGATTGCTGGTATATTACACTTTCAATCCACGTGGACTGTCGAGTTCTCAGCCTTCAGCGCCAATAACGTTGCTTGGTTCGTAGCGGCAGCGAATAGCTGGGAGATACTCACTCAAAATACCTCCAAGCCCAACTCCGGCTCGATACTGTCGAATGAACGTAAGCCCCGGACCTATCAGAGACGAGAATTGATTATGCTGTAAGGTTTTCGCTCTGACAAGGTTCTCAAGTCCGCGTGGACTAGGAGGTGCTATGACATTGATTACTGAATATGTATAAAATACCTAGCAAACAAACCAGCAAAAATAGAACTCCGCTAAAAATGTACCGGAGCAGATAAAATCTAATAGGTCAGGGTGGAGTCCTGTTCGAAGAGGACATAGCGTTATTATGAAGTATTCGAGTATCGAGTTTATTAGATATCCTAACGTGTTTACGCAGGGCGATTGTCGAATATAAATTTGGTGTTTTTAGAGCGGACTTTACCTGGATTTACATTTGTAACGTTGTAACTAAGGTAAAAAAAGTTGAGCCTATTTCCGGTTAACTTTTAGGCCCAAAACTGGCGAATTTTATACCTAATAACGTACACGTAGGTAGACAATTAAAATCTGCTGCAGGAATAGGAAAGAAAAAATATATGTATGTATGTAATAAGAACGAGCAATCAAAAATTCTACCTACACACTTATCGGGCACTTCATTGTGCGGTGACGTCTGTGGGTACTTGAACATAAAACGGAAAACTGTCTGGGAATAATTGATTTTAATAACGCATTAGGTACCTACAAACATCTACTCTTTTTGTTTCGCTTCGAGTATTATGTTATCGAATGTATTTATGTATGTATGTGTGTTTGTCGAGTGAATGCTTTGAGAAATAATGGCTCTACCTGCTTAATTACAATTTTAATACGTGGCGTACGTGATTGAATATATGAGAAAGTAATTTTGTCCATTACATTATTATTATTATTGTTGTTATTGTTATTGCTATTAGTCCTATGTGTAATTAACTGTGCAAATAAACCGAAAACCCAGAGAAAATTATTACTTATTATTTTTTTTTCACAAAGGTGCTAACTGTTCGTAGAATGCAACAGTCTTCCATAATATTTTATTTTAATATTTATGCTTTTCCTAACAAATGGACAAAAAGGGGACCGGTACAGCTTTCCGAAGCGGTGCGGCCCAGTTTAACAAAATAAAGGCCCAGCCGCCCAGCTCAATGCGCTCGACCAAAGTTCTACACAATTCTTTGGTCTTGCTACTCAGTAATAGGCGTTATCAGGTCGAGTATGATGTAACAGCAGTTTAGTAGTTATAGATCGCAAAAACATGCGTTTTCTACTTTTGACGTGACAATGTCTTATAATTCGATAGAGCCGGCTGCACACGAGAGAGATCAAAGATCGCCGTTTAAGTGGCTAATGGAGATAGTCGAACGTTGGAGTGTTAACTCGTCGAATAGGTAATAACTAATTAACGAAGGAACGTGAAGTGATTAATACGGTGTGTAGCGGCACATCGGGGTCCGTTGACCTCGACGCCACCACCGATCGACGACGACGACGAAGGCGTCTCCAGCGTCGTCGGCGGTAAAACGCGCGCGGTTAACGCGTCACAACCGTTCGTTCTCTTCTCTAATAATACGCCACACTGATGGATATCTGTGTATGTCTAGCGTGTACATTTATTTGTGCGTACGTGTGTACTATAATAAGACACTAAAATTGTTAAACGGCAACTTTCGGATGGAGAATAAATTTGTCGGAAACATGACGCGACTGTGTAAGTAAGCCCGGGGACGACGCGATATGCATATTGTTAATTACACATGTCCAAAGACGTGAACCGTTTTTATAATCGGCTCTAACAGAATACAGGGTGGCAAAAATACATTCACCTGGCACAATGTACCTATAATCTTTAATAAACAAACTATTGACTGTCTCAAACGCAACATATGAAATTAGACAAGCAAAATGTTACCCCTCCTGTTGGGTAAATTACTTATTTGAAACTGAAACACACAAATTGGACATGTGTCGTCTAAATTAAAATGGTATACGAGANAAAATAATAATGCATAATTTAAATGATCAATAAACCTTGAAATTTTCATTATTGAACGCAAAAAGTACTCCCAAAAGTCCATACGTTAAGATATTTACAACTTATAGTTCCACATAACAAAAACCAAAAGAGTATTTGGTATTTGATAAAAGTGATAACGTACCAACCCTTTTTTTGAATGGTAGTGGATTAAAGATTTTGACTTTTTTAAAATTTAAGGAATATTTATTATCCCTAAAACATTTTTTAAATTCCAGCGTTGTGTATTCTATGATTCTATATCAAAATTAAACGTATTACTGATGTATAGATAGTATCTATAGATAAAAATGTCTGTCTATTTTTTTATAAACCACCGATTGAATAATAATTTTAAGTCGGCAATCTTTGTTATAGCAGTTTCTACTCATGTAGACAACTATTTCACAGAAATGATTAATAGTTACTCAAAAAACAATTACCCATTACGAACGGTGTGAAATATATCGCTTTCCAAAAAAAAAAAAGGTAACAACATCAGTAAATTGTTTTCGATAGTGTTTTGAAACGTATTTCAAAGTCAGCGTTCATAAAAATTGTAGAAAATAAAACAATGCCTTTTAACAAAAACAAAATAGGTATTGTGTAGATTGGAAATAATTGGTAAAGTTGTGTACTGACAACACAAAATGATTTTTCTATTGAAACTATGTAGATACCTAAATAAATATTTGTACATTTATGATTTGATCTTTAACCAGTGATTTAACTTTGTTCAAATATTTGTTAGTGAACTAAAAACTTAAAGAGATTTAACCCTAATAACAAGACCAAATTATTGACATTGTATGTCACTGAAATTATTAGCTAATAGGCGGTGTACATTTTTATTGAAAAGAGACAATGATAATGTACTTGCGATAACAGACTGAAAAAAAATTGATGGAAATAATTTCTGTAATCAGTGAGAGCCAGATTATAGACGATGTTAAAATATTTATTCGATATGTAATCTTTGGTTTGTTTTATTTTGTATGTGTACGTGTTTGTATTTGTATTTTGCTTGTCATTCGCATCTTTACATACACATGTATTTACTTTACTGATTTATTTTGTTGCAATTCCAACAATAGCAAACCAAAGGCGCAGTTTCAATGTTTATAAGCGCATATAGAATAATTTAATTTAATAAAATGTCAAGGAGTTTTTGCATCACATATCTTCGTTATTAAACTTTGTATCAATAAATTTGAAGAAAGTAATATTATATTTACGCTTAAATTTACGAAACATGTAATGTTTAATGTTTACAAGTTGTAACATTTTTTTAAATAATAAGATGTTTTGTATACATATTGAACCGACAATGAGAAGCGATGGATTCTGTACATTATTTTAACTATAGGTAGAAAGTAACAAGAACAACATACAATAACAAGTAAATAATATTAGTAACAGCGATGTCGCTTGTGAATATAATAAAAGAATGGCCATTAAAATATTATCGCAGGCGGCTTGGGTCGCGCCAAACGATGTAGCGGTAATTTGCATAATAATCCGTATCGTTATGTTTAATTGCCAGTCAATAATTCTAATTAAATTCCCTGTCTCTCAGTCTAAAAGAATGAACGATTATGACTACTCGTAAAATAAAAATTGGTAAATGTCTAGATGATGCTCGAAAGAGGGTGGTCACTTGAACAAAATCCGATAACCTAACGTACCCTATTGATAAATTCGGGGGTGGGGGCCATCATCTAGACCTTTACCTAAAAATTTTATGAATCGTTATTTTCTGAGTTTTTACAATTAATAAAATTGACTTAGATATAAACTTTTACCATGTAATTAGCACTTAATTAGAAATGCAATTATGATTTAGTGTTTCGTACAAAACATATGAATTTAGATACCTATATTACCCGTGGTTTTGCTCATGATTATGATAATTAATTGTTGTCTTAACTGATCCATCAAACTAAAACAAAAACACCTTGAACTGTTTCTGTGAAATGCAATGTGGGGTTTCAGAATGCTTTAATTATTTATTAAACGGTTAGAGAAATAATATTATCTATAAGACAAAAAAACTTAACTGTAAACCGTAACATAGTTTCATTCACGTTAAATAGTCATGTCGAAAGGTCGTTGGACAAATAAGAAATGTTTAATTTACAATTAGCATTAGAAATTAGAAATTCTTACTTAAATAGTGCAGCCTGGCTGCCAGTTAAGCTGCTACTTAATTAGCTTCCATCTAACGAAGTACCTGCACACATATAATGTCCGGTATGTAAAATTACGAATGAGTTGCTTTATTTTAAATATGTCGAAGCATACCACTCTTGTGGTGTAAATTTATTCTATATTAATGCAAATGGTTTATTTGTGATAGAGTGTATAACTAGGTATACTAAATATACAAGTGTTTGCCTGGAGGAGATAAAACGAAATATGTTATAAATGATATGCTATTTTTAATGATGCATGGCGAGTAGTGTAAGTGATGAAAATCGGCTGCAAACAGGATACAATGCGATAAATCCTGCGGTTTTTGCAATTCTTCGAAGAATCGAAGATAATTTTTGTGTTACAGACTGTAGATTCATGTTTTTATTAATGTAGGTACCCATAAAAGTGATTTACAATTTCGCATATGTATTTAATATGTAAAACGGTATGAATATGCATGATTAGAACTCATGAAAGTATTTTTTTTATGATTTTCAAAGGATGATTTTTCCACATGATATTTTTTATATCAACACTCAATTCAAAAATTGGTCCTGTTAACTCCTTTCTGAGGTCCCATTTGCTACGTCCCTGAGCGGTTGAACTGAGAAGTATTGCGCCTTTCTTTTCCGATGTGAAATAATAAACTAGGTATATATTAAAAAAAAAGCATCAGGTGTCACTTTATTCTTTTGTTTGTCATTTACAAATACCTACGTAATATAAAAGTTACAAAAAATAATTTATTTTGTAAAAAAATAATTAAACTAAAGCGTATGCGGCATAGTTAGCCACCCCGCACCTATTTCTGTTACGTTTTAGTCTCATGTATCCGTTTTCACCCCATTGATTACCCCACCAATTTTTTAATATCCAGGCGTCTTTCGTATAGCCAACTATGATCATCGCATGGTTTACTGTGTTAGAAGAACAGCTGATATCATCGTATATTCCAGAACTGTAAATAAAAAAAAAATGAGTTAAAAAATTAAACATTTTAATCTGTGTATATGTAGTCATGTATTGGGGTTAACTTGTTTATTACAACCGATATGTACGTTACAGTCATAAGTAACATTTTTACGTTAATTTAAGATTAATAACATTCAGTTTTAGTAATACAGGGCGTCTAATTTGACGTAACCTTTTTGCTGATGATGCCTAAATTGAGGTTTGAATAAATTAACGTTTACAGCGAACATCATATAATGCGTGATGCTGAAATGTAAATGTATAATTAAGTCTTTTGCTTGGAAATAGGGTCTAGGCCGTGCTACGATGTACAATATAATTATCAATCGGTTTTCCGTTTAATTCGCTTTTTATTGAAGGGCATACATCAGCTTGAAAGCTGTATATTTTTCATTATTTCTCCGTTTTTCCTTTCTTTTTTTTTTTTAATAGAAACACCAATTGTCGATGCCGTTAATCGATGAATGCGCAATTAATATCATTATCCTTTAACGACGATAATATTAACCATAGGAAAAAAAAATTGTTCTGCCGTAATCGTGACCTTAATAATACCAACAGCAATTTCGTTTAATGCCTTTTCTAATGGGTTTTAATTATTCTTGTATGTCTATTATAAATTATAATTGCAATTTATGAATATGTGTGTGTTTATTTTGTTTGATTTTTATCTTTATGTGGGGTTTTGTCGTGTATTTGTTAAGTATACAAGGCGGTTTGTGTACCTAATCATAATTTACCACAAATTTAAAGGAGTTTTTTTGCATTTCACAAAAATATGTACAGGATGTCCCAAGTTTATAATTATTGTTAGAGATTTGTAACTGATGATGTATTACTATTAATGAATTATAGAAAAAAAAGATTCTTACTGATACAACTGAAAGGTGTGAGGACTGGCGTTGATGGAAACGGCGATCGGGCCTATTTTAGCGACTGCTATCTCTATGGCCCTCTCGTTTCTTGCTGGCAAAATGGCCCATGTTGTTATATTGACCATTGTCCGATGCTTATCGAAATGACACTTTCTTTGCTGCAACATTTTTTCATAAAACAATTAAAACAATGCGTAGATCAATTGTTTCATAATAAAGTATAAAGGTGGCTTCCCACGGCCTGATTTCGTGTTGCGGACAGTAACAGTTGAGCACGGATCCGGTTTGACCGCGCTTTTGTTTTGTTTATTGGTTTATATTTACTTAACAAGAGAAAAAAGAACAAAAGCAGTGGTATCGTCGATATTAATTCCTTCTAATGATTTCACGAATGTTTAGGAAGAGGAATCACAGATAATAACAGATGCCTATAGACTGCGGCTGTTCCGGTTCGGGCTACCGACTCGCGACGGATCGGACGCGTTATCACGGATCTTTCTGGGGCCATTTCGAGCAGCACCCTTTCGAGGCGTGTTGGCGCGGCCCGGCTTGCGATATCACCGGCCGTGGGAGGCCACCTTAACTCAGTGGCGTATCAAGTGTTAGTGGTGTCGAGGGCGGACTATGAATGTATTCCGTCTTATTTTGGCCTCGTGAGTGCCGCCACATGATTCTTTAGTTGTACTGTTAGTTTACCGTCATCATTTTCCGATTTTCGGGTTTATTTTAACAAAATTGATTTAAACGTTTTAATAGTGCTAGGGGATTGCGGATAAACGGGCGAGGTAGATAGTAGAGTATTTGGAATATTTTTCGTCGTGACTCACCTGTGCGGTATAGGGGTAGTCGTTGTAGGCCATAAGTCCTCCCACTCGTTCCAGGTACCTGAGAGTGTTCCGAAGCGAGCCGCCGCCGCAGCCGTAATTGCCCATTGTGACGCTGCAATCTACTATTTGCTGCTCGCTGGAACAAACGAAAACAACAACGACCAAATAAAAATTGCATGTAATGTAGGGCTGCCAAGTCCGCGAACGAACAGAATGGAAAGCGTGCACCGCTGGAATACGTACTCTGCTACGAGAGAGAAAGAGAGTGAGAGACCGCGTCCTTTTCTGGCTGTGCCTGTGCCTGCGTATGTTTGTTGATTGTGTGCAGAGAATAAATAAATTCTTCCTGCCCGCTCATAATCCTGCTGCAACGCCCGTACCTTCAAATTTGCGATTCAATAAAACGGGACGTATGCTTAAACGGCTACGAGAATTTACGAATGTAATTTTTGAGAGTCGAAAAAAACATCATATTGTTTCACGGCATCACGAAGCACGAAACGTTATTAAAGTGTGGCGTACAGGTGGATCAAGATTCGGCCTTCAAGCAGGAATGCACCAAAAGGCGCAAAGCTACGAAAAAGTTGAACATCAAAGATAGTAATCACACCATTTGGAGGCTCGCGATGGAATGAGGCGTATATTCTACGCTGAGGTACATGCAGCTTTAAATTCGTCGCTTTATGCTAGCAAATTGGGCTTAAGTGGAGAAAGCTGCAGCTTTCCGAAGCAATGCAAAGAATTGTCTCGTATCGTCCCCTTCAGTAATATAAAAAATACGTCGACGCGTCCGGACAGATAATTTGGAACAGAGGACTAGGACTATTAAGCGATTTAAAAGATATTAGTGGATGAAATAGAATAAAAAGGCGGTTCGTTGGACCTATTTTCAATATCCAAGATGTCAACATCGTTTTAAAACGCTAATTTTAATGTATCCGAGGTGGAAGTAAACAATTGCAATAAAGTAGACGGGTTTAAATGTCTACATCTATTGTAACGGTTTAAACGTTCAGTCTTTACTGTTTCTCGCGTCTTTGTCAATTTGGCTAGCAGAAAAATGGCATCGAGATTGCGGGTGTTGCGTGGAGGCGTCTGCGTGTAATGTACGCGCGGCGAGAGACACAATTGAGTCCTTCAATAAAATTAATTAGAGAATGAATGAGAAAAATGTCAACGCGTAATCCGAAACGTTTCCACGCCATAATTCAACGGCTCGACAACAATAAGGATCATTTATTGGTTTTGATCAGTTCGCGCACCTTTACGCATTGTTGTTTTTAATGGCATCGGCTCGTATGTACACGATTTTCTTTTACGGCGCAATTGCAAATGGAAGCAATTATAACTTAACAAAGGAACAAAACTTTATTAAAACTACGGTTCGTTAGTCGAATAAACACGCTTGAGTGATGTAATAAACTGTTTCTCACGTTTCTCGCGAAAACAAAACTCGTTCCATTTTGCTGCGGGTGTACTCGAGCAAGACATTTTAAGAATAAACCGGGCTTTGTCTTGGATTGTGGATATTGGCGTGTCGTAGGTTAGTCCGTAAAATTGTTCGATAAAGACCTCAGAGTTTCGAGCAATGACAATCCATCAATACAGATCGACGATCGAATGTTCTTTGCATACTCGCACCATAATCGATTAATTGCTAACAGAAACTAAATAGATCGCTACTGAAACTGCAAGTGTTAGAGTGTAAGTCAGTCTTCAAAATTATTCAGTAGAGATGTCTGGACTTCGAGAAATGATTACCCATCAATACAGATCGACGATCGAATGTTCTCTACACACTCGCACCATAATCGATTAATTGCTAACAGAAACTAAATAGATAGCTACTCAAACTGCAAGTGTTAGAGTGTAGATTAGTCTTCAAAATTATTCAGAAAAGATGTTTGTGTTTCGAGAAAAGACAACTCATCAATACAGATCGACGATCGAATGTTCTCTACATACTCGCACCATAATCGATTAATTGCTAACAGAAACTAAATAGATAGCTACTCAAACTGCAAGTGTTAGAGTGTAGATTAGTCTTCAAAATTATTCAGAAGAGATGTTTGTGTTTCGAGAAAAGACAACTCATCAATACAGATCGACGATCGAATGTTCTCTACACACTCGCACCTCCACGCACCATAATCGATTAATTGCTAACAGAAACTAAATAGATCGCTACTCAAACTGCAAGTGTTAGAATGCAGGTTAGTCTGCGAAATTATTTAGTAAAGATGTCTGGGCTTTGAGAAATGACAACCGATCAATACAGATCCATGATCGAATGTTCTCTACACACTCGTACATCCACGCACCTTTATAGATTACTTGCTAGCAGAAATTAAATAGAATGATTCTGAAGCTGCAAGTGCTAGAGTGTTGGTTAATCTGAGAAACTATTCTGCAAAGATGTCTGGGCTTCGAGAAATGACAACCGATGAATACAATGTTCCCTACATATTCGCACCTCCACGCACCATAATCGATTACTTGCTAAAAGAAACTAAATAGATCGCTACTTAAGTTGAAAGTGTTAGAGTGTAGGTTAGTCTGCAAATTTATACAATAAAGATCTCTGGGCTTCGCGCAATGACAACCCATCAATATAGATCGACGATCGAATGTTCTCTACACACTCGCACCTCCACGCACCTTTATTCCTACATACGTATATGATACAAACCGCCGCTAGCCTCGAGGTTATGGAAAAAATTGTTAACAGTAACGATTGGATACGCTGAAACTTTTATGTTTTGTCGCACTTATTTTGCTTTTTGTATTGTTTTATTTGTCAATTGCATGCCGCGTTTGTTCCACTGAAAAACTGTGAATAATATGTTCGTATATCTACTTGCATAAATAGCTAATACTTTAGTCGGTAATTAAAATTCTTACTGTGCGCGTTAAAATGTTTACGGTTGTTTTAAAACGACTAACGAATGTTAAGCTGAGAATTTGAATTCAATTATTGCCGTCACGTAACGTGACGTCACGTCTTCCTCTTGACGATTTTCTCACCACTGAAGTTTCAAATCCGCTAGAACCCTTGATAATAAAGAGACATTAATTACGTGCCGCTATTTGAACTGGTGATTGAATATTAAGTTTTAGTTTTCGATCTTCTCCATGGCATTAGTATTCGGTCGAGAAATAATCCTAAGTAATATTATTTATGCGAATGCGAATTTGTTTGTTTGCTACAATTTCACGCCTTAACTACTAAACCGATCATCATGAAATTTTGTACATACATTGTCAGGAGTACATAAAAGGACATAGGGTACCATTTATCTAGAAATAACTACTATTCCCTAAGAATAGAAAAGGTTAGTAGTATGTGGTCGTCGATGATTTTGGAGAAATATTTAGGGCACCAACGCGAGCGAGGCCGAAGATTTCTATCATGAAATTTTGTACAGACATTATCAGGGATATAGAAAAGAAAATAATATTCTTCCCGAGGGATAAAAGTATTTGTTTTATGTGGTCGTTGATGAACTTTGACACGTATATATAAAGGATATCAACACGTGGAAAGCTGCGTGAAAAAAAGTAATATGGATAAATGTTTAGATGGTTACATTTTACTAAGAAGGAAACACTATGGCGTTTCTGTTTTTCTTATTGAAATCAAGTGCATACTGAAAACAAGGTTTGTTTTTAGGGGTGCTGTATATGTATAAAGTTGCTGCCCTTCCTTTGTTTTAGGGGCTGAGTTCCTGAAGGAAATGTGAGGATTTTAACGAACCAGAATCTGTTGTTTTTTACTCACGATTAAATGGTGTTCTTCATTTATCTTACAACGGTTCATAATCATAATAAACGCGGTTAAAATGACGTAATAAACGGATGGTAATAAAGATAACACCAATTATTATTTTGTTTTTAACTGAAGATGACCATTATCACTTAGTTAACATCATTTCCTTTTGATTTACTCTGTATGAACTCTGTAATTCCCGTTTATGTCTATATGTTTTGTTAAACACCAACTAAAGCCAAAACAAAAAGCATGTGTTTAAGCGTATTATCCGTAAGGATAATCTATAGTACATCACCCTTCCAACAACAGTAGAAATCGATAAAAAGAAGATGTTTGCTTGCCCATTTTTATGGTTGAATTGAAACAAAGCAGAACAATTTATTGCTTACCTTAGGGGCAATAACCGATTGGTTTGTTTAAATATTTGCGCTTGAATAACCAAAGCGATGCTAAAAGCGTAACAAGAGCCGCAATCTTTTTGATTGTACGAAGGGGTGTCGAAACCCTTTTCTCTCCAATCTAGCTCTTCCGGCAAGTGGTGGGCCCTCTCGTAGAAATCTCCTACCCTCTCAGGATCTTCCAATTTTCTGCGGACGCTTTGCGTCAGTTTAACCATTTTCTGAAGGTATGCAGGAGTTGACTGAAAAGGAACATCAATACATATGTAACAACTACGTGTTGTTTGGAACTTAATTTCCGGAAGTAATGGCTATGGTTTTGGGATCATACTCCCAGTGCAGCGTCAATCCTAGTCCCATAATCGTACTGGGATTGACGCGGACACCAATTGTCAGTGAAAAGACTAGAACCAATAAGTGTTTGATTCAGCAATAATCGTTAGGAGTGTCGCCGAAGCGTTGAAAAGACGAAAAACTCCAAGATTGGTCATTACGATAAAAATCGGAGAGATATTTCTAAATACCTACGACAATAAGAATCATACCAAGTCTGATAGATGGTTATCCCTAATAAAATAGGAATGAAGACCCCGTTTAGCTTCTTCGTTATGCTTTAAAATCTTTCTCATGTTGGCCTCCCAAGCCAATCTCTTGTTAACTTCATGGGCACCGTAATACGATTTATTGTGACATTCCTGGAATATCAGTTAACTCACTAGTGAAATAGTCCTGATGCGTGGATTATATATTTAAGAACCTTAAACTTTTCCCAGTGCATGTTCACTTCGTTTTTATCACTGAAAAAGCATTCACCAACGTTAAACGCACACATTAGCATAACTGTAAAACATTTGTTTGAAAAGTGCATTATTTGGAATGTTAAAAGTAAAAAAATGTTACAAGAGCTATAAACTGTTGCTCGTTTATGTGATATAAATATTACCAATGTATTTTTTGTTAAGTAAAATTGCACGGCGTAGCGTTTTGGATATTCTTCTTCTTCAGCAACAATCTGAAAACTATGGCATGTCGTTCAATCCCCGGCAAGTTTTGCAACTCAGCGAAAATATAAATTGTGTCACTTACCTATTCTCTCTTACAACATATTATAAATATGTGCTTAATTAGTAATGTTTGGGGTAGTAGGGGACCGATTGAATTATATTTCACACAATTTAGCATCATAGTAAGAAAGTAAGTAAACAAATTGTTAATTTAAATTGTTAATGGAAAGGAATTATCATCGCTTTTGCACAAGCTACCAAGTAGTGCCTGTATCATCATCTATTTTAGTGGTATTTGCTGCTAACGCGGTAGATTTTTAATGTTTGACATTGGTCAAGGGCTGTTGATAAATTACCGCTAATTTGGGGGTAAATATTAATTATTAATATTGTCTATTAATATTATTTTGAGTAGATCAGAGGGCGCTATGAAAGTTAGGAAGAAATAGGCGAGATAGGTTGGTAGGACATCTTCTCAAGCATGAAGGACTAGTTAGAGACATTTCTAGGGAAATGCAAACATTAGCTCAGGATAGGAAAGAGTGGAGGTGCGTGTCCAATCAATTTTAGGACTGACGACTCTATGATGATTACGATGAAAATTGGAAGAATGGGAAGTCAGACGGGCGTTATGATCCTATTACGTGAGGGAAGAGGGTCGATGTTGTTTATTTTACTTATTTAAAACTAAATTGTTATTAGAAATTAAAGCGTACCAGACCTCATCAGCACGCCATAAGCAGTCTCGATAAATCACCGGTTAAAGACTTTTTAATGTTTTTATTGTGTTTGCGTTTTATTGTTGTGTGCAAATTGTGTTATCTTCTTGATCTTTTTGCACCCTCTTTACCTTAAATTTACAAATGCACTGAACCGAAATAATCACCAGTTAGTTACGCTATACGTGTTGAAGTAGATAGACACACATAATTGTACGTAATAATCTGGAGAAGGTGGCAATTAAAAGAAACGTAGCTAGAAAGGATATTTCTTAATTTATTTACATGTCAAGCGGATGTATACTATACATATCTACATATGTATGTAACAATGGCGGATATTACAAAATAATTAACAGGATGGTAATTATTGAAGCCGCTGGACTTGGCGGTTACCGAGTACCTAATACCCGCAAGTCTTAGTGTTCGCTGATCCGACGACCGGACTAAACCCTCATTAAGGGGAACGATTAATATAATTTGTTCCATTTGAACCATCCTATCGACCAAGTTCAGCCAACGCATATTTGCCGTTTTACTCTTTATTCGGTCCTCTCTCTGCCTTCTCGCTTGGCGCACCGCTTATATTATTACCCGACGAAATGGCCAATCATTAAGTGGAATTATTAAAGGGTACGATGATGTAAACGCTGCTGCTGTTGGTGCTGCAAGTGGATGAATAAAGCCACTCATTAAAAGTCACGCTGACGCGGGGCCGCGGTCATTATCAAAGGGGAAAGGCAGAAACGATTTCTTATGTTTCTTTAGCACGCTTATTAAACAATCTACGTTCGTTGTGGATCAAATTTGTTGTTTCTGTTGATGAAAGCGTAAAAAAATGTATAATCAAAATTAGAAATTAATTTAAATTAAAGGAAAACGTTAGGATAGAAGCGTTCGGAATGTAGTGTTACAGGCAAATGGTACGGATACCGTGGAAAGAGAAGGTTAGGTTAGGTTAGGTTAGGAAGTCAATGAGTAATAGGCGAGATCGGTTGGGAGGACACCTTCTCAGGTATGAAGGGACATATTAGAGACATATTGAAAGCAGTTGTAAGTTAGGAGGGTTATTTCAAAAATAATGTCCGGCACAATACAAAATAATGTTTTTATATAAGAAAGATTATACACGTACGTTTTTACAGTCAGAGTTCTCTATTCATACTGTTCATTCATTATTTTACATTTCTCTATTCGCAAAATGTTCGCTTATATTATATCGATTCCGATAAGTCATAAATAATATCGAAACATAAACAAATGACAAAGCTGGTTGTATGGCTGGTTGTTTTTAATCGTCAGGAACTGCAAAAGATTTTGATACACTTGAGGCACCTCTGGGTGGCGATTCTTAACACAGTAGTTAAGAGGGGGAGAGGTAGACCTAGATTATGTTACTGTTCACAGAAATGTAAGGATTGGGATGTTTTGCTATTGGGAAATGCGAAGATTAGCTTAGGATAGGAATGAGGTACGTATCCAAACAGTCTTAGAACTGACGACCTTTTGATGATATGTATACGTATGACCATCGTTGTTTAGGATGATATCATGATTTATAACCTTTCCAATATCAGTTCAGTCGCACTCAAGTTAAAGAAATGTCTACACCTACACATAGAAAATATCAAAATTAGTCATAACAAAAATACACAATGTCATATTTAATTTCAAAAAGATTTACAGGATTATAAACAATTATCTTATTAACATATAAATGGAGTTAAATTTAATTATGTATACTTAGATGTTTTAAGATAACAAAAATTAAATTATTGAAGACAGTGACTTGAGCACTCAATTTTCTTATCTGATAGGCACTTAATGATAAAATTTTGATAGAATTGGTTGGAATGTGTAGCCGAGTAACATTTTGAAAACTATTTGTTCTACTGTCGTAATCTTAAATGTTAATTAATCAGCTGACGGCTATATTAGTTTCAAAACAGTCCAATCAACACACCGGCTAATTACGAAGATTATTGTTAAGAATTCGCAGCGAAAGCTCTCGAATTGTTGCTAATAAAATTTCTAGGAGCGCTGCGCAACAACAACCGTGTAAATAACTTTCTTTAATAGCGTTTTAACGACGGAAGTACGACGTGTCCATAACACATACCTACAAACGTATGTACCATAACAAGTGTGACGGTTTCGTTTTTTGAATTCCTTTCTGGTGACTAAGAAGCCGTTTTAATTCGTCCAAATTAAAATATTTCCCGCATTTTCGGAACGTTTTTAAGCGGAGATTCATTAAGTCGAAATTAGACTTCTATGTAATTGCTGTAATTTGGGAATTCCGACAAAAGCCTACTGTTTATACTCAATAATATAAAATATTAATTTTAATGCCGTTCGAATCCTGAATACGGACTGGGTGGTTGGCCAACTTTAGTTAGTATTTGGGTTCAGTTAATAATTCGGCGCCGAGGTATTGGATGTCCGAACAGGATATCTTATTAAAAAGCTACAACTGAAACCACACCTGACAAAAGCTGAACAAAAGAGATAAAACTCTTAATAAGTATAATGCCTCCTTGCAAGAGGGACGGGGTTGTGGTAGACTGAAGAAACTGCAATTTTCAATTATTAAGTGTTAGCAGATAGGGCAAGGCATTTCGCAGATGATTATTACAGAGGAAAGGTTTAAAACCCATTCCAAGAGTTGGGTTTCAAGAATCGTCAAATACAGAAGCTAATCTAACCTGGAACTCTTGGTAAATATTTAGCGTCCTTGAATGTGTTTAATATATTTCTATGCTTGCGAGCAGTTAATTTGAAAATTCAGTAATAATTATTTAAAGAGCATGTTTGAAGGTCGACTCTATACGGATGCGAAGCGTGGATGCTGGTTGAGGAAACGTTGGAACTGCTTGAGATAAGGTGTTATAGGACGATGGTGAATACCGTGAGTGGGGAAGGTTAGGAACAAAGAGCTTTTAGATAAAGTAGAAGCTATAAAAGTCAATAAGCATAAGGAGAGACAGAACACAAGAGCTAGTTAGGGACATGTACGAAGTACAAACAGGAATAAACAAAGGGCAATTTAATACAAATGTAAAAGGCATTCGGGAANAGGAGAGACAGAACACAAGAGCTAGTTAGGGACATGTACGAAGTACAAACAGGAATAAACAAAGGGCAATTTAATACAAATGTAAAAGGCATTCGGGAAGTGTGAAGATTGAGTCAGGAAGGGGTAATGATGATGATGATGATACTGAATCATTTTTGAAAAGAAGTCATTCAAAAGGGACAATTTCTTTGGACTATGTGTGGTCCCCCTATAACAAGTAGAAGCTATGAAAGTCAATAAGCATAAGGAGAGATAGGACACAAGATTTAGTTAGGGACATGTACGAAATACAAACAGGAATAAACAAAGGGCAATTTAATACAAATGTTAAAGGCATTCGGGAAGTGTGAAGATTGAGTTGGGAAGGGGTAATGATGATGATGATGATGATACTGAATAATTTTTGAAAAGAAGTCATTCAAAAGGGACAATTTCTTTGGACTATGTGTGGTCCCCCTATAACAAGTAGAAGCTATGAAAGTCAATAAGCATAAGGAGAGACAGGACACAAGAGCTAGTTGGGGACATGTACGAGGTACAAACAGGAGTAAAAAATTTAATACAAACGTTAAAGGCATTCAGAAAATGTGAAGATTGGGTCAGGAAGGAGTAATGATGATGAAGAAGTCATTCAAAAGGGACAATTTCTTTGGACTATGTGTGGTCCCTCTATAACAAGGGACTATATACTAGCGATTAAATGCAGGTTTTGTTATAAGGTAGTTGCAGTACGAATCGTGTTATCAACTGATATTATTATTAGTTAAGCCGCCCTAATTACTACGCCACTGTCAATATATGTGGGGTCTGGCAGCCTTATCTGACTTGCAAGATTTCGAAGCAATAATAAATCATCTGTACAAATAGAGCAAATTGCCTGTCAACGTAGC